TGTGATGGAATAAGCCTGCCTGGTCAATCCCCCGACCAGGAGGCCGGGGCCACAGAGGAAACCTCAGCCTGGATGGCTGGAGGATTGGCTGATGATGACCGGCTGAATTACTCCCTCCGGGTGCAACGTGTCCAAACTGGAAGGGTCATTCTTATGGAGACATAAGAGAGCTCTGTGCTGTTTTTGAAGGGATTAAGGAAAATCCACGGCTCTGTCGTGACTCAGCCTGTGCCACATGAAACTTTTGTAGCACGTGTAGTGAAAAAAAAACTGTTTAGTTTGCCGCGTTCGGTTACACTCTTTTCAAACTTTTTCAACACATCTTAGTTTTCTCTTTCTCTGCCACCGCAAACAAAACTTATTTAGTATTTTCAACATGTGTTTACGGTCATGTTGCAATGTCAGTGTGCGTCAACTAATGACCTTTCTGTCTTTTCATTTCTGTCATTCCCTCCTCTCTCCTTCCTTTTGCACACTGTAACATCTCTTCAACTCCACTACAGTTGTGCGTTCACAGTCATGTTTATTAACGTGCACAAACTATAAAAACTCCGTTGAGGATGCTAACTTTGCACAGTAATACTCTGCCTTGTACTGAAGCTAAGGATTTAAAGACTTCTTCCTCTCTACGTCATGTTCTGGTGACCCAGATTTAGCTGCTCTTTGTCTCCCACCTTCTCCTCCCCCCATGACCCACTCTTATAATTCACCCCCAACTGTTATGAATGGTGTATTAACTTGAGCTGCCCTTTGAATGGGGCCATTTAGCTCTCACATATATACACTGGCTCTACTCAGCCTACACTGCGTATGGAGTTAGAAAGAGGGTAATTATACCAAATTACAAAGGAGAATGTCTGGGGCAGAGAGGGCAGGCAGTTCGGTCTCGGAGAAAGAAGGAAAGCAAGAAAAGATAGATACAGAGACAGATGGAGGGAAAGACATTGTGAGACTGATAGAGGCAGAGGCAAATAGAGATAGACAGCGACAGGGAGAAAAAGAGAGACGAATACAGAGAGGAATATAGAAACAGAGACAGAAAGAGAGAGACTGAAATCGAGATAGAAATAAACTGAGATATAGAGATGGAGGTATATATAGATAGAAACAGCGACAGATAGAGATAGACAGCGATACAAACAGGAAGGTAGGTAAAAAGGTAGATATGAATAGAGATAAAGAGACATGAATTGAATTAGAAGTAGAGATAGAAATAAAAAGTGATACAAATAGTTTAATATTCTGAGATAAAGAAGGAGGTGAGACACAGATAGAAACAGCAGCAATGAGACACACGTGTTGGAGATAAATAGAGATAGTTACACAGATGTGATAAATAGATTGGGAATATATACAGCGATTGGGATGAATGAGATGGAGAGATAGCAACAGAGAGAGATCAGTAGAGATAAGCTAATCGAGATAGATGATTGATAGAAAAGAGAGACATACAGATAGAGATAAACATAATGAGACAGAGATACAGAGAAAGAGATAGATAGAGGAGGATAGATAGAGAGACAGGCAGAGAAAGGTAGACAGGGATAAAGATTGTAGAGAAACAGAAAGAGATAGAAGTAGCAGTAGAGATATTGATTGATTTATTCCCTCTGCTGATATGCGTGACTGTACTTGCTGCTCTGCTGCCTCCTCACAGCTGCTCAGCATTACAGTCGCTGCTGTCTGACTTTTGAATGTCACACACAGTGCATCGGTAGCACAAGACTTTTCTGTCTACAGCTGAGCACTAAAAATGTATTTTTTTGTGCAGTTTGAATATTTCATCTTCTTTGTATCTTGAAACAAGAAACAACAAAGCCGGTTGTTGCGCTAGAATCAAGGAGAAATTAAACTGGAGTTTGGCAAATATTTGAAACAAGTAGATTTCTACTGGACTTAACTTTAATAGTTTTTTTAAATAATTTAATATTTTTTTCCTCAGAACAGGTCTTTGACACGCCTGTAGTTGGGTTTATTGAGTCCAGATAAAGTACGTTACCGTGTGATGGTTTGAAGGATCTTGACAGTTCATGAGCAGAAGAGGGATTTAATAGTTTAGCTGGAATTTCATGCTAAAATCATAAAATACTGTGTTTGGTCTGCTTTGCTTTCACACCACAAACTAACTGCAGCAGAGTCTGACTGAAACCAGTCTGTATTTCAGGTGTTCCCAGTCTGGTTGTTCAGTCGGCTTTCACAAACAGGTTATGTGTAAAAACACCCATTAATAGAAATAAATCACCTTGCTGAAACATCACTATGATGAGCTCTGAGGGACAATGTTGACTGTTGTGAACTGAAAGACTCAAAGTTCATCCAGAATCCACATCAAGACGTTTCTACACTAAAAAAAGAGTGCAGAGTGATCAGTGTAAGGGGTCACCGTTGGTATGCGGCGACAGGAAACCGACGTCTTCTCCAGAGGAGCCTCTGAAGTGGGATTTCTTCCAAAGGAAACACAGCTCAGACGGCGGTGCGACAAGCAAAAACACACCGGCGGAGTCGAGACAAAGCTGAAGGACTCCAGCCTCGTCCCATCAGGCCTTTGTGGCATTGTGCAGACCGAAAATGAAGCAAAGAGGGCTATTTCTGCGGGCGTTTGGGGACCGGGCCTGTCCGTCGGGCTGTCAGGGTGCAGAGTGAGAGGAATGGACCTGGAATGCTGACTCACTCAGCTCCTGGGCCCCTGGGAGCTCCGGGAGGCCCCGTTATCCCCTCCTGACGCTTGGCCGAGAGCAGATAATGATCCGTGGCCTTGACCCCTCCGCTCCAAAATCCCAGGTCACCCTGTGAGATTCCCGCTAGAGTGTGTGTGAGTGTGACACGGGAAGAATTTTAATGTAATCCAGAGATCAGCTGGCTCACCTCTGACTCCCTCTCTCCGTCTTTTTGTTCTTCTTGTCTTCTCCGATCCGGCAGCTCGGAGTCGAGACACACCAGGTTGCAATTAACCGGATCTGAAGACTGTACAGAGGGCGAGCGAGGGAGGAGATGATGAGGGAAATGTAGAGAGAGAGAGAGAGAGTTAGGCAATGCCCTCGTGGAGCTTTTCCAAAATAAAAACCTGAGAAAAATGTTAACAAGAAACATAACTCTATAAACTCAGTTAAAGGCCCCAAAAGGCTTCATTTATATGGCGGTAAAATAAAGACACGGCATCTTCTGCGGTTCCGTGTTATCACAACAGCTAATTAGTTCTGATGTTTTGGGTAAACTTCCCAGAACTGAGAAAATCCAGAAGGAAAACTTTAAGGGCTTTAATGAAAAATAAAAAGGGCCGTTAAAAAGATGCACGATGAAACACACAAAGCTCATGAAAACACACGACTATTAGACGTAGACGCTTAAATTGGAAGCAGAAATTTATTGCAGAATCTGGGCTCCATCTTCAGGTTTGTCTCGTTTGCCCTCGAGCGGACAAAATGATTTCATGTTCAGCCAAATAAAACATGCAAATATGTCTTTTATGTAAAAGGTGTCTGATCTCACAGTAAATTCATCCTTATTTGTAAGAAATAAACCAATGTTGGTACCATGTGTGCATCATTAATAGGCCACTACTGAATATTCATTACTACTAATAAAAACATTCTTTTATCCTTCTGTTAATCAGTTAGTCAGAGGCAGGTTAAAGCACGGGACAGTTTGTATTAGTCTATAACAATCATGTTTTAGTGAAGTGGGTGTTCAGGAATGTGATCTAATGTGGGAAGAATCACATTTTTGGCATCAAAACAAGATTTCATATCAGCAGTGTTGAAATTCAGATATCGATCACTACACAGAGCAGATTGTTTAGACTCAGATATGAACTCTCTGACTCTCAGGTTTTTTTTCCTTTAGTTATTTTATTTGTCCAAAAACTACATGTACGTTAAAGCACATTGAAAAAGTACCTTCAGTTATATAGTATAGTTCAATAACTTCCATCACACCTGGTTTACTGCCCCAAATCTGTAGCTCTGCTTCTGTTTTGTATCAGTAAACTGAACTGTTGGTCAGACAAAACCAGACATGAGATCATTCATTGGACATTGAGTAGAAGATCAGTCAAATAATCTGTAATAACCAATTATCATCCAATTTTACACACACACATTTTAAGGTCATGGTTAGTGCTGCTCAGCCTGTGAGAACAGGTGTAACAAAATCTCCCTGACGGTGTCACTGCGGTGTGTTCGGGGTTATCTCAGCTCAAAACTGGAGGTCTGGAGTTTGAAAGATCCTATGAAGTTGCATTATGGGAAATGTAGGCTCCAGTGTTTTTGGAACGTCTGGATACCTAAGCCTCCTGCATCTCCTCTGAGTCTGAAGAAGTAACTTTAAGTTTGTGGCTCTTGTGAGAAGCCAGTGTCCCACGATTTAGATTCTCACCTGGTGGCTCCGACAAACGAAGGTCAAGAATGAAGCATCCGTCTCTCCAAACCTAGAAACACAAAGCAGAAGCAGGCAGTCACAGCAACCATATGCTTTCCCAGAACAGACAAGTCTAATTGGTACCAATCATGTTTACAGTTGACCCAGGACCGTGTGTATCCTGTGTTTGAGTCCGTTAAGGGGTTGAGCTGTGTTTTGTGAGCCCAGCTGTGCTGTTTGGACGGCAGGAGTGCGAGCAGAAGAAAGCTCTTCCCATCACTGTCAGTCCTGGTTTGAGTCCGGGCTGCAGCTTCCCTCCACACAGTCCATCATCCCGTCTAGTTCAAAGACCGTCTAGCTGCAGGTCTTTGTCAAAAGCCCGGTTGGATATCTTTTATGTTCAAGATGTAGGATTTCTTAGTAGGACTTTGATTATTTATTTATTCCACTTCTCTTGTGTGATAGTGCCAATATTTTACACAAAAGTGCTCAGCTTGCTCTGAAATTCTTGTTGCTTTATTGTAGCCCTTTTGCCTTTGAAATTTCTTTTTTTTTTTTTGAAAGGCAAGCTCTTTTTTTGAAGTCTCCACTCCCTCCCTTCCTCATCTAACTCTCTCTTCTTCTGTGCTTTTCTGTTCTTGCAGCCCCCCACCACATCTTCCCCACCTTCCACACACCAATCCCGATTGACATGCGCCATCACGAGGGGCGATACCACTACGAGCCTCACGTGCTGCACGCCATGCACGGGTAAGTGGCCTGTTTTCTTTTGGGCACGTATTTTCTGAAGGGATTTCTACACGTCATAAGTTCGAAGGACGATTCCTCAGACGCAGGGCCAAAGAAGTCAAAGTCGTCAGATCTTTTGATGCAAATGGTTATTTCCTACTCAGTTACTACTGTACAGCACAGGGGTTGTTTTTCTTTTCTAACTCTGGAGGATTTGCTTGCAAGTGTATGTTAGCAGGCGCTGATGAGAGCTGAGCGTTCGCCAAGTTCAATATCAAAAGCAGATGACAACATGCTGACTTCCAAAGTGAATAATCAATGCTAGTTCTAAATTTCCCCTCTGCAGCCCTTGTTTCCGATACAGCCTGATTATGTGGGCAAGCTTTGCTTTCTTGGCTCCAGCCGTCGAAGGATGAAACGCTCTGAGAAGTCAGATTGCAGTCTGAAGTTCGGCTACTGGGATCCAAACTGGGAAATCTCCCCACTTTCAAAAGCTGAGGTGCCACCGAGCAAGGCATTTTACCAGCTGGGACTTCTGGCTAATGAACAGTGAATATATGGGAAAGTAATTCAGAAGTAAAAGTTTTCTTATTGCAATAGTAAATTAAATTTACCACAGTGTCAAACCTTAGCTTGTTCAATCTAAATGATCCTTCTTCCCTGGTCGTTCTAAGAGGCAGCCTGGTGGAATATTTGCTCTTACATAATTAGATGTTTTAAAACCTGCACTGGATGGATTTTGGGTTGTTTATAACAGATAAGGCTGGAAGGAGAACAAACAGCTCCAACTTGTACTAGACATGGATGTTGCAGGTAAAGGTGCGCCAACATTTGCGTTAAACTCACTAAAATGTAACCGATTTTCTCTGTGACCGGCGTAGATTGCTCCCAACCTCCACTGGCTCAGTCTTAGATTGTCCAAAATCGTATGTGAAAAGAACCACATAACAAGCACTAAGTGAAGAGTAACACCACAAACATGCAGGTTCCCCTGAAGACCTGAAGAAAATATGGCAGACTTTTCTGAATTATGCTACCACGATGCTGGCACATTCGCAATGTTCATTTTATCATCGAAAAAATAATGCAATATCTTCTAGGTAGAAAAGTGCACTTACATTACCAACTGAACTTAAGGCCTATTGGGCCCCTCTGGGTATGAGGTCCAGTTGGTAATCCAGCAAGTAGACATTGCTTAATATTAGGGGGTTTTGTTGGTAAAATCTTATTCTGCAAAGTAACATGTAATTCCACCCATCAAAAAAAGTACACTATTCCCCCTTGAGCTGTGGAAGTATAAAATGCAAACACTCAAAAGATAAGCAGCTGGAAATTAAAATGTATGTACAGTACTGGAGCAACTGTACCTAGCTGCCTTCCTGGATAAATAAAAAGATGAACAATCTCTGCCAGTTGGCTCGTATCAATCTGCAGCTCGCTCCATTAGCGGTGATCAGCAGGGCCGGATCCATCACCGATGACATAATACATCCACCTTCGGTCCAGCACCTCTTTATATTCATTAATGGCTTGTTGCAGAGCTAATCTGTGTGGTGCAGGCCGTGTTGCCCCCGAGCTAGCGTGATAATTAAACTCCCGGAGTATAGAGGTCACAGTACCGGCTGCGTGTGCTGCAGCAGCGCTGGTGGTGAGTCCGACTTCCAGGCTGCTTTGGGGTTCAATAAGAGATGCAATCCCATTTATTTTCCCCAGGGAAATTCAGGTTGGAAGAAAATAGAGTGTGTAATACACAACACTGTACAAAATTCAACTTCACAGATTTGTTATTTGTATCAGAAAACATTAGTCCGCTGAGAAATACCTTCTTTATTTTTTTGCTTTTATTTAAATGTCAAACCAGTGTTTTTGCCCCAAACAGTGTTGCAGATTGTTAAATGTGTTTAGGATCTCAGTTCATCTCAGGATAAGATGAAAAAACCAACTTGAGGAGACTTGAAAATACATCTTGCTCAAAAGTGCATTATTGATGTTGGAAACAGTTGAGAAAATTCACATGAATCAATGTGCAGCGCTCAGAAACAAAAATAGAACCAACAACTGGGCCAACCATATGTGCGGATGGAGATCATGTCATACGATCGAGAACTACTCAGTGGACCCTGCAATGAGATCGTTTTCCCACGTATAATGTTTTGTGTTGGTTGCCTTTTTGTTGTAGGATAATGCAATTAGTTTGGTGCACAGCGGTGCGTTCATGTGGCAGTGAGAGGATTTGAAATCAGAGATGTGAGGGTAGGAACTCAAACTGAAATCTATGCTTGAGATTTGTTTCAGAAAACATGGATGTAGTCACTTTGATTAAAAATGGATGTGTTCAGAAGCTAATTGTTGTTATTAAAACTTCTAATTAGATTTAACAACAGCAACATACTAAGCAGGGGGCAGCCTGTAAAACAATGCATGTGAGTTGGATGAAATCAGCCAGAGTGGAGCTGAGTCCGTGGCACACTTTGAAACAGAAGGGCGAGGATCCTGCAGGAGTTTTAAAGTTACTTTATCACAAAAGAAAAACTGGCGCCGGGACAAAAAAAGTCAATAGAATTCTCCAAATAGTACTCTTACATTTAAATTCACAGATTTGATGGTGATGCATACTTCGCGCCTGGCGGAAGCAGGGCTATTCATCACGCCGGCTGGGAAAGTGGAGGACGGGGGAGGGGAGGGGGGCCGGCTGTCCACGGACTCGGCCACCTTGATTAATGTGATTTGATCTTGACAGTGGACCCCTAATTCATCAAGACCTTGATCTAGCTGTCGCTCCCCCCTGCCTGTGCCAAATTCACCTAATTACAGGAACATTGCGCAGCAAATTAAGTGCGGTGTCATTTGTCGCCTGGTGCGGCACTTTATTATACACCCGTGGCAGCGTGTCAGAGGTCCCCTCCTTGATTGTCTAACATGACATCTCTGCGCCGTCCCCTTTATCATTGTTTGCATATACCGTAATGAGAGGGCTGGTTATTTTGTCAAGCCTGTCATAAAAAGCAGCCACGGGGAAGACTCTTTTTTCTTCCTTCTTTCACTGCATACCGAGGACGTTTTTTCTTCCCTTCGCCGTCGCCGGCAAATGACAGTGAGGCGAGGAAGTTGCAGGAGGAGGCAGGAGGCAGAACACAAGGGGGAACGCTTCCTCCTGTGGCGGGGCGAGGCTGGGAACCACCAACATGTAAGAAGCCGACACCAGATCCACGCAGGGCCCGAGTACTAAAACTAAGATCTGGAGTTTACATCTGGTGTAAGAAAGCAACTTTTCTGAAAAGCATTTCTAGTTCTGTAGAGGAAACACGGGACGGTAAGGAGGCTGAGAGGAGAGACCCCTAACTCCTGTGTTGGCCAGCTAGCCAGTCAGATAGGGCAAAGGTCAGAAGGTGTATTATAGTACCTACAGGACGTGACACATACTCTCGAGTTCTTACATTGTGAGGACTTAACATGAGAGAAAAGGACCTGATTAAACTAAAAAGATGCTGGATACATTCTGGGGACTTCTGTTGACCGAGCGTTCAACATCATAGCGACGGAAGAGACTTTCACGTGTTCACGTCACCATACAACTCCAGACGGTTGAACGATTGCTGAGTGGCGTGAGGGATAAAAACACTGCATTGTCAACATACGTAGCACTAAACCCATTCAATTTGGTTTTAATGACCTTGAATGATGGGACTTTGGTTGACGTGACATTTTAGACACGAGTCGAACATATTGGTGCTTTAGGTTTAAGTTTCCGAGTTGCTGGTCCGTTAATGTGAAGACTTTGAAACTTCCTCTTTGTGTGAACCGAATGACGCCAAAGTTCTTACATGATGAAACTCAGGAAAACGTGGAAGGCCCTCTCTAGAGCCAGTGCTCAGTTTGTCCGTTCGGTGCTACTGTAGAAACATGGCGGTGCAACGTAGTGGTCTCCATGTAAGAGGACCCGCTTCTTGTCCAAAGGTAACGAAAACACAACGATTCTTGTTTCTTATTTCCAGGCGATTATACATGCCTGCCGTAATCTGCCAATAGATCCCCCTAAATCTGAGACACTGGTCCTTCAGCAGCAGCGGGATTCAGACTGACCACAAAGAACATAATGTCTACTGTCTCTACGACCCCAGGCAGCAACAGAGTAAATTTGCTGGACAGCGGTGCCAAACTTGTCAAGAAGGTACAAGAGGAGGCGTCGGTAAAGGACTCAGAAGAAGAAGAAGAAGAAGAAGAAGAAGCCACAGCTTGATATGAACCCAAGCTTTGTGTTATGCAGGTATTTGCTTGAATCTGAAGACAGAAGAGCTCTTGGTTTAACATCACGGTTCGTTGGGTGATCAGCTCATAGAGATGGGACGCTCCTCCTCTGTGATTAAGGTTGGGTCCTAACGCCTCTTCTGTACAAAAACGTTGAATCTTAAAAGAAAACTAGGACCTCATGGTTGGATATTCCTCCAGCTGATAGGATCAACTGGATTGTAATTAATATTGTTCTTTTATTATATTTAGAAGTGAATCATGCTGGGCTCTTGATTTCAGAAACTTGATGCTAAAGTCAGCTCCAGAATCAGCTCTGGAAACTCTCTCTTCTCTTGATGCTCCCTCTGATTTGCAGCACTGTGATCTGTTTGTTTGTATCTAGGTCATTTCTTCCTCTGCATGAGGAGGAAGGCGTTCAGGGGTTTCAGTTTGGGGGGGGGGGGTTATTTGCCTGTTAAGTTTGAGGCGTCCGCTTCACGCAGCAGACTCATAAACCTACAGTGGGAGTTTACTCAGCCGCACGCTGGACGGCGTGATTTATCTAAATCAGAGAGCTCCCTGAGCCCGACACCGGAGACGAGACTCACTGTCACACTGTAATTCATCTCTGGTGTCGCTGGGAAGCAAGACGCAACGCTCACACACACACACACACACACACGATAAAAAAAAAGACTTGAACACTTGAACAGCAGGGACAAGCAAAGAGAAGCACACTTTAGATGCACGTAGAGGAACGCTACGCTCATTTTTATGTCCAAACCCAACAACACACGTCCATGTAGTACCTCAGATATAAATTACACTGGACCATTAATCATTTGGAGGAATTTATCACATAAAATGCAAATTTTTAAAGCTTCTCAAATGTCAGGATTTTTACGTTTTAAATCATTATTAAACTTAATCTGTGATTTCTTTTACTTTTTGTTTAGACTAAACATTTTTTACCTGCTGAAGCCAAAGATTCTTGGTGCCAGTAAGACCAGTAACTGTTCACGATGGTCCAGTAAACAGAGAACATAGTGGTTTCATCTTTCAGTGGAAAACACCACATCAGGGCCTTTTGAGGGTAAAGTTACAACACAGAACGGGCCAGAAATCTGAAATAACAAGGAGCTGATGATGGTGATTTTATGACAAGCTGTAGCGCAAACAAGCCGATTTTAATTTCAGGATCTCTTTTGCTTCCTGACTCGATGTAGGATAAATGAACAACTCTTTAATCATCAAGCTTTTAGCTCTGGAGCTCCTCTCACTCATGACTGAAGGTGCTGTTGTCAGCTTCCACTTCCAGGTTAAACACTTCTAACTGCTTCACAGAAACAATCAGTATGTGACAACTCTGTTGCAGATAGGCGGTTGCCAAACGTTTAACCTTATAAACAGAACTCAGTGATGTCGTTTCTTATCATAATGAATTGCTTTGCTTATCCTGGTGTGCTTTCAACAAAGACTGAACATTATAAGCTTCGTAATGGAACAGTTCATGGCAGAGCGGATGTGTTTGATGGCATTAGATTGTACAAGTTTGCCTAATTAAGTGTATAAATACACATTTGTTAACCTGCAGTTATATTTAAAATCATACATTTTCAAAGCAAGTCAGTTTAGAATAAACTTCAACTGCTACATCAGCAACATCACAACCATCTACATTTTAATATTTCTGCGACTCTGGACTCGTTCTGAGTTCGTGTTTTAACGTGGCTGTAAAGCCACACACCTCATTAATGGTATTAATATCATGTCAGCAGCGGCTCCAGTGTGCGCCATTAAAAACAAATGCAAACTGCTGTAAAAGGAACAGAGGATAAGGAAATGTCTGCCAGGAGGTGTCACGCCTGATTAACGTCCTTTAAAGCTCACCAGTAAATACGTGTTTGAGACATTTCAGCTACACGCGGTCCCTGCTGCCTGTGCTTCACGTCATCCAGAGGTGTTTCATTGAGGCTGAAGCGAGAAGGCACAGTTGGAGAAAAATATCTGGCTCTGTAGCTGCTAAATGCTCCACTATGTTCACCGGTAGTTTTTTTATTGTTATTTCCATGTTTGTCTTTTGCTTGTATTGCTTGTACATGTGTCAACAAATAAAGTTACCTGAGCCTGCAGTGGAATTATCAGCTTGTTTAATGAAAACCGGAGAGTGAAGAATATTTTAAATGTGCTCTAAAACCAAAACTAGAAGTACTTTTATTTACATGGCGGCAAGATTAAATACACATATTTATGATATGATATGAATTAAAGTTTATCAGGGAGGTTTTGACTTTTGAGAAAAGTCATCTCACTCTGTTCTGGTGTTCAGGTGGAAGAGTAAAGATCTGCATTTGCTTTATTTTAGCAGATATCGATCCTTTAAAACATGCCAGGATCGGCCCTGATTTAAATATTTAGGATGAGCTCGGGACAACCTGTAATTAGTATGGCTTTAAAAAATTTGAAATAAAAAAAGTAGGTGCATAATGAGCATCAAGTAGCTAAAAACACTTTCTTCCTTCAAGAATTACTCCACAAACTACAAGTATCGTGAAAAGTTAAATCTGTAATCAGTTCCATCCACCTGAGAGCACACGCACATTCTTTCCACTGCAGATAAACGCTTCAAACCTCACAACGTTTAAAATACGACGCTCAACGCAAACTGGCCTGTAAGCTTCAGGCTCGTGAGAGAGTAAAGCTGGGAACGTTAACGCCCGTCCTGGAGAGCCGGAAATTAACCTCCCATCTCCCGTCTCAGCCTGCTGCCCGGCGCCGAACCAGGATACGCTCTGAAGGCCGAGCATTGTATTGAAAACTCCCCCGTAGCCAGACCTGAATATCTGAATATTACATGAGTTATTCACCACAATCAGTTGTTACGTGTGTCCTTTACGAAGCAGGCGTGCGCTTAAACAAAGCTTTTTCAAAGCTGGACTTAAAGAGAGAGAAATATTTATACACTTCATGTGATTCAGATTGTGATTGTTGGAGGAGCTCGTTATCACAGTAAATAAAGCCTCTTAGACTGGATTCAAAGACCGACAGAGCTCACCTGCAGGCGGTTACATGATAAGAGCATTAATAATTTAAACAGACTGTCGGACTGATTATGTTTTTGGGTGGAAAATCAGATCTTTATCTTCTGCACAGAGAGAAAGAACAACATTGCCTCACTCGTGATGCAATCCCACAATCTGGCGGCGAGGTAATGAAGCCTTTGTTGGATGTTGGATGATGGAGAATGAGTATTTTTAATTTAGTAGGCAGGTAAGAGACAGAAATGGTTTGGTTAATACTGAGGAAAGCCCGACACAAAGATCTGGACATTCACGACCTGAAGGATGTTCAATTGTTTTACTTTTTTACTCTTGAAATCTGTTGACACCCCTTTGGATTTCAACTTAAAACAACCTGGATTCTTTTCATCACCCCTAAAAAAAGTTGGTCCTTCAGATGAGAGGTTTTTACTGACAGTGATGTTTGACTTTAGAGGCGACTCTTTGAAGGGATGAAACAGAAGATCAGCACATTTTTGTGCAATTAATAACTGACCATGGGATTTTTTTCCTGTGGCTTCTAGATAAAGTATCTTCTACCTCGTCTGCTTCTTAACTTTTTTAAATCAATTGTTTGCTTTTATGAGTAAATTATATTTAAGTTTCCAAGATTTCCAACAAATGTCTGTTTTTTAGTTCGGTGGACTGTGAAAACAACAGGGACAAAGAGAAATGAGTCCATACTCCATGCACACGCACTCCGTTTTATAATGTACATAAAGCTGCACGCATGGTTTGTTTTTCAAATCCCACATATTTTGCCTTAATCAGCTGTTTGTAAGTGAGCATCTTTCCCTGAACTGCATCGACGAGGTCCTCACACAGCAGCAGAGAGAGCATCCTTTAGCATGGCCAGATGCAGAATTAATTAACCACAAGATGTATCTGTAAACTATTGTCTCTCTCAACAAGCTTTAATTACTACAATCTTAAACTACTGTTTCCAAAGCCAAGGCTGGCCTCTTTTGTCTTCTGTCATATTTACTTTATGATGTTACCTCTAACAGTATTAAAAGTTTTTGGTTGGACTGGTCAGAGTCTTTGTTTTAAGGGGTTACAATCCACAAAGCAGACTTGAGGAGAAAATGAGATTCTTGGTGTCAGCTTGACGCTCTTTCATCAGGCTCATCTTCCAAAAATCACAGGCGTCCCTGGATCGACCCTGGAGTATTTCTCTCTCTCTCTCCAGATGAGATAACACCGATAAACAAAACCAACAAATGCCCCGTGGGAAGAGAGTCATCTGGATAGTTGGTTGCCCGCCATTCAACACATCCTCCCTCCCCGTCTACTCTTCTCCGTGACCCTGATCTCACCTCGTTCTTCTGACTCTCTCAGATCAAAAGCTCGATAGAGGAACCGCGTTAGACGTGATCTCACTCTCAACGCAGTCTGTGTACGCGCTGAGGTGGCGGCTCGGAGGATCAGGTTAGCAGATGGATTACTCGGGACAGGTTTGTCGAGTGTGATGAAGCTTCAGGTGGTTGTGTCAAAGCGTGCTCCAGGAAGATTTTCTCTTCTCTTAAATAAGTGCAGAAAGTCCTGATTTCAGTCCATGCAAAGCCTGACATATCTTCTTCCTCTGAGCCACAGAGCTCCTTTGTTGTCCCAAAACTATTAAAAACACATCAGAGAGCGCCTCACTGCAGCACTGGCTTCCTTCATCACCATGAACACACGCTGTAGTTTACTCTGACTCAGTCCCACACACACCGTCCTGCTGCCCCAAATACTGAAAATATTCCCCAACCAGTGCACTTTTGTTTGATAAAAACTACGGTGAGCAGCTGTTTTTGGAAACTACAGATCTCTGAACATTTGTGATGAAGATTTACATCTCCAGTGAAAGACAGGAAGTCAGAAAGTCCTGAGAGACGGACTTACATGTTGTTGGTTTGGATCTGCACATGAGATTTGTAGCCTGTGTCCAGGATCAAAACCACTCACGGATGTTCCTTTTCTTTCCTTTCTCTAGCCCCGCAGGTTTGGCCGGCAGCCCCGTCATCTCCGATATCTCCCTGATACGCCTTTCACCCGCCGCAGTGGCAACCGGTGACTCTCCCTTCAGCCCGCCTCACCCCTACGTCAACCCTCACATGGAGCACTACCTGCGCTCTGTGCACGGCAGCCCAACGCTGTCCATGATCTCGGCAGCCAGAGGACTCAGCCCGGCTGACTGTAAGTCCACAGAGCAGCTAAACGCCTTTCATCCCCTTTCTTTCTACTACAGTGACGCCGGACTCTATTTTATACATCTTATATCAATGCTTCAGCTCTCTCACATTCATACTGATCAATTCTGACCATCTCTTACCTCGCTGTACAGCTTCCCAGTTTGCACTGATTTTGTGATTTACAGGTGACGATCTAAAAAAAGTCACTTTAAACCAAAAGTCCCCTCAATCACCCGAAAGACACTATAGATACTTCTGTGAGAGGTAATGAGCTATAGCTTCTGCCTGCTCCTTCTCCGCCTCATTATTTTGTGGCTGTGTAAGCCAGGGGTTTCCAACCAGTTTGTCAGTACCCCCCCCAGTGGGTCCCAAGATAAACCAGAGAGGTCACAAGATGAATAAAATAATTAGAATTAGGTTTCTTTTTTCAGACTTTTCTCTAATAATTCCTTTGATTTCTTTTTCTTGTGACATTCTGGATTTTTTCTCCTCAGATCTTTAAAGATGAGAAGGATAAATCACACTCATGTACACTGAGGCCATAACCTGTGATGGGGAGTCACAACTTGCATTATTTAAAATAATATTTAGTGCAAATGCATGATCGGAAGAGGTTTGCAGCGGCTGGGTTTTAGAAGGAAAGTCAGAGCTTCTTTAGAAAATGATTTTCAGCAGGGAATAAGATGAATAAGATGAATAAGATGACGGCTGGTTACATGAATTGGTTTTGGAGCAGGGAGAACCTTGACCTGCACTCTCAGGTGCTTTGAGACGCAGAGGGGGTCCTTTAAATAAAACAAAGAAAAACTGGCAAATACCCCGCCAAATTCACCAGGATGCGATGACAACTCTTTCTTCAGCGCTGAATTAGAATAACAGACTGGAGCGTGGCGACGGGGCGGGATATAAATCTTCTTTTACTCTCCGTCAGAGGTAATGTGGCAATGCTTTTAAACTTAAATAAGCGGCCGCGCCTGAGATCTGGCCGTGATGATAAAGCGAAAGGGGAAAAGTATGTGGGAGCCTATTTGTGGTGGAGGGAATGCAAATCGCTCGCTGAAAGACGAGGCCTTGGGTTTGGAAAAAATGGAGGCCGTTGGCTTTTATGTGTTCCAGGTGACCTTTCTTTTTTCCATCCGCATCCGACATGTAAGACGGGATATCATGCTGTCGTCACCTGGAGTTTTGGTTTTTGAATTAACACAGCTTTATTAATGTGATTTTAAGCATCTTTATCTGTCTGTATTACTTCAGGGAACCTTGACTTTCTCTTTACTTGTTAGGTTTTTAACCGTGGCGATCTTTCTGCTCTCTGTCACAGTTTCACTTGATTAAGAAACATGCTCTGGCCTTTATCTACCTCTTTCCTAATCATTCAGAAGGTTTTTTTACGGTGGAAATGTGATCCTGTAAGAGAAAAGTGAAGGAAGCTACTTCAGCTATGAAGTCAGCTCGAGCATAACGTCTGCTCTCTTTTAGGTTGAGAACCCTAATGCCGTCTGAAAGATCACTCAGGCGACGAAGGCAGGAGGTAAAACGCGGAGGGGGGGGGGGGGGGGGGGGTTTGGTTTGCAGACCGGCGTCTCCAGCAGATGCAGAGGTAGAAACACTCTGAGGATAGGGGGAGTAATTCTGGAGGCGTAAAACAAATTTAAACCAAACCTTTATTGGCCCTGACATTTTTAAAAGAGCTTTACTGGGTGCAGATGTTGACACCAACACACGCCAGGTGAACTCAGAGACAGACGAACACATGAAGGGAATTACATTGACATTAAACACAATTTAAAAAACTTTTTAGTTCATGAAGGGAAGACCGACCATACAGAGACTCTGCAGGCAGATCTCTTTCAACCAACATGAAATTCACAGAGACAAAGTTATACTTTGAAGCATGCTATTTCCTGAGAAAAACATTAAATATTGAACATTTCATGTCCAAGTCGTTCATTTTAGTGTAATATTTGATCTCTAGTGACACTGGAACACAAAATACTACTTGTGTCTGACTTTTTTCCTCATGAGGCTGAGGAAACAATCAAACAGAGCAGAGGCCTAGTGGAGGGGGTGGGGTGGGAGCACCTACACGGGCCGTTGCACATCACTGACCCTGCCCCGCAGGCCCCTTGGTCCATTCAAGGATCTCCTCAGCGTGAGGCGGGACATACCAGGAATTCACCCCTCGGCTCCCTTTTCTCACTCCTCCCTTTAGTTATTAACTCCTTCCCAGCATCCTTCGTCCTCCTTTGCCTTGTTCCTGATTATCTTCCCTTTCTCCCTCCTTACACACTAATCTTCTCCCCCTTCTCCCTCCTCCGCAGTGGCCCACGAGCATTTAAAAGAACGCGGGCTGTTCGGGCTTCCTCCCCCTCCAGGGGCGAGCCCGGCCGAGTATTACCACCTGATGGCCAGCCACCGGAGCCCCTATGGCGAGCTACTCATGCAGGGGGCCGGGGCCACTGCTGGGACTCACCTGTCCGACTACATCGCCCCCATTGATGGTGAGTAATTTACTCTGGGAACAAACAGGCTCAGACTGGGATAGCTGAAATTCACAGCTGTAAAATCACAGAATGCTTTGACTCGTTTTGGTTTTGTGGCACATTTCCTGTTTGGTTCAGAGTTTGCAGAAGCAGCAGGCAGCTGTTTGCATCAAACAAGCATCAAAGCCCTCTGTTCACTACCTGCCAAGCAGCAAACAGCACACAGATAATTCCCTCAGGAGTCGGTGGAGACCAAAAGCAGAGTGAATGTGGAACTCACATTCATCAGATGGACACAAACACAACTCCACGTGTGTAAAGAGGCAGTTGTTTGCTAACAAGTTGGCCATAGTGACTTTAGAAGGCACTTATATGTCCACAAGTGTGTGGCGATTTAGGTGTTATGGAGTTATTTTGCCCCCTAGTGGCCAAAAATCTATTAATGCAGCTTTAAAGAGGTGGTATTAGGCAGCTCCTCTTTTCACCCTGTGTGTTGGACGCTCCGCTCTTGAGCTACAGAGTGATGCATCTTACTTGTACAAAATCTTTGTTGGGAGTTGCACATGCGCAGTTCCTGGTTTAGGACTACTAGCCAATCAGAAGCAGAGAAGGGCGGGTCGTAAGAAACAAGGTAGTGTGATCCAAATCAAAGCCGCTTCAGACTGCGACGTAACAGATGGTATAAGTTACTCAACCACACAACATCATTGTTCCACATCTTACCATAAACAACTACAAAAATCACCATCTGCCTCGCCGAAAAATGCTACCACAGCGCAAATCGATAGACTGGACTCTACTCGGCCCTGCTCCGTTTTCCATAGTTTGTTGTCATAGCGACGCCACACACACCTGCCGCGACGTAATGTTCAATGCGACACACACACCAGCGATCCACACAGCTTTCTCTTTAAGTTAAAACATTTCAACATTCCTCACGATGTAAAGACAGATAAGCGGTATGAAAAGCTTCCAGCTGTGTTTTCCTCTGCCGTTGTTGCTGCAGCGGTCTGTGTGACGGCGGGAGCAGAGGGCTCTGTGATTGGGCGGCTGGGCGGCCTCACGCGCTCCTCCCGCGGGTCACAGCAGGCTTCCCCCGCCGCCACTCGCGGAGCTCCTCAACTCCCAAAATATTCAAGCATTTTTGTTCCGCCATCACTTCTCGTAAAACTGTCAATATTCAAAATCTACACAGCTGATTTCTCACCTCAAAACTTCTCAGAAGTGGATTTAGTCATGAAATAAAGTATGAAACAGTAAAATATAAAACTTCCTGTTGCTGCCTCTGTCTGGCGCAGCAATGATGATGCAGTGAATAGTGAATATTCTTAGTCGTGTTTTCACGTTACATTTTAGTTTCCCTCAGCTCGCTTGGAACCTCGACGGAGGAGATATGAAAAAAAGTACCTGGAAGCAGGTACAGGTGCAACATTTCTACAATGGAAACCCAAACAAAGGCGAGTCGAGCCAAAGGGCCTCCGCTCAGACTAGCTTGGTTTGAGGGCGTCTGACCCCGCTAGCCGCTTGGCGAGCTTTATGACACGTTTTCATTGTGACGTCACAAGTAAAGGAAGTGAAGGGCTGGACTACAAACGAGCTGTTTTCAAGAAGTTCAGAGCAGAGTTTTCTGTGGGAGATGGGAACTCCCTTTGGGCTTTTTCACTTTGCAAACCTGTTACATGCACAAAAAAGAATATAATTCAATAAAGGAGAGGGAAAAAGTCAAAATACCACCTCTTTAATGTAAGGCTGAAAACAAGTTTGAGACAAATACGTAAAAAAAAGTAGGGATGCAACTAATGTTTATACTCATCAATGAATGAACAAATAAAAAGTCAGAGAGGTTGAAAATGCCCATCAGAAGTTAAAGCCAAGGTGGGGTCTTTAAATGTCCTGTGTGGTGTTAAGCTTATGACCAGCAGTTTAAAACAGCTGAAATATTTCTCTTTCAGTGACATTTGGCAGATGTTCCAGTCCAAAACTGATTTTTAAGTATTTTATCAAAAGAAGCCGTCCAAACTCTGTAAATTTTTCTGGACTCTTTTATCCGCACTACAGGAATCTCTCTCCACGAGCAGAACTTGAAAAAGAACAAAGATTTTAAATGCTAAAAATTTACTCGACATGCTCATTACCTGCTAGTCTTTGGAATAACAGTTGAGGAAAAGGGATGGTGAATGTCAGGCTAACACGGGCGCTTGTACCCAGGTCAGAGGAAGGTCTTCTTCTTTCCCAGCAGCCCACCCTGCTCTGTCAAATCAGCTTCTTTGACACTGATTAAGAAGAATGAAATTCCCATCAGGGTGTCGAGTCCGGGTGGATGATGAAACAAAGATCACAAGAGGGGCGTATAAATAAAAAAGGCTTGTATACATTTTTCATGTCAGACTACTTCAAACAGCCGAGGGCCTTCAGGTATCAGCCGTGCGCTGCACAATATTTCTCCCCCCCGCCGTCCCTGAGCCAGCACTTTTCCATAAACACCCAGGACTTATTGTGCCGCTGTGACATTTCCAGTGTTCGCCATCACCGGGCACATTAGGTCGCAGCAGGTATAGTTAATGTCCTAAGTAGCTGGTTTGATGCGCCGCTTCGCTCTGCACCTTAAAAGGGTAGCCACGTCTGAGAGGGAGAATGATGGCGGAGGGGAACACCAGAGAGGGTAACGTCATCTGTGCGATACGATCTCTTCTTAATGTCTGCCGCCTGTGCTCTTCCAGGGAAGTGACACTTCCTGTTTGTCACATACTCAGATATGTGATTTAGTGACATGATAGTAACTGGATTCAGGGGTGTTTCTGGCCGTCTGTCGGTGCCCTTTGCTTTCAGTGCGCATCCTGAATAAACTGCCAATCGCCTCATCTGTGATGTTGAAATATTAAAACTAATATTTCCACAGACTGCAATACTAACCTCTTCTTCTTCACTGCCGGTCTGTGAGCCACTCACGCTCGTCTGAGGAATAGAGTTGTTTGCTGCCTCGCTCAACAGTGTGAAAGAACATCAAAGAAAATAATTTAAAAAACAGATTTTATCTGTTTCTGTGAAAGAGGCGAAGCACAGTGATTGGCCAGTGTGAAGGTAGGCAGGTAGGTATTTTGCAGTCTGGCCATTCAGAACAGGTACACTTGAGCCTTTTGCTGACCCAAACAGCCCTGTGTTCAAATAGGGTACGGGCGTATTTGAAGTTATGACGGCAGCAGGTCCTTGGCGAGTGCGAGGTAAACAGCAGAAATATGGCATTAGTACTTGTGCAAAAGTTGAGCCTTGTTCAACGTTTCTGCTGGACAACCCTCCGACAACCCTCCGAGTCCTCCCCTGCTGTTTCGGCCGACTGGTGAGAGTGAATGAGAGGGCTCAGGTCGATCTGAACATGCTTTAGATGTGGTCAGATGTCATATTACTCAGTGTCTTTGTAAAGGATACTGAGATTTTAAAGCTTTCAAAATAAATTCCATTTCTGCAAAAAGTGATTTTGCAACGACAGATCCAGGTGGCGCAGAGTGAAACAGCAGAGCAGCGTCTATCTAAGGGGAAAAGCTAGAACTGGGAAAGTTTCAGCTCCTGAAAGGTGTTGTTTTTTAACCAAAATCAAACTGGTTGCAACAACTGGTTGAAAATATTTGGTGATATTTAGGAAATTCCACAGTTGATGTCCAGCACTGGACGACATGCACGCAGAGGTCGGAGGCGGAGTCAGCCTGGGTTAAACCCTTCTGTGCAGGTTCAGCAGACGGAGCGCAGGGTTGTGAATGAGCCCGCTGTGTTGTGGTGTCGGAGGCCAAACTCGAGCTGCTGAGAACGGCGGCAGGCTGCCAACAGCGTGAGGCCGTTCGGCCGGGGCTCACTAAAGCTGTCATAACTTAGTTTCCAGCCGTCCCGAACACTGTGCAGAAACTGTTGGATGTGGCGGGGAGAAGAAAAATCTCTTCACTTGCCAAGTGCAGCGTATGTTTGATTATTTGAAGCTGAGAACATTTCACTCCTCTGCACACCAAGAGAAGAGGAAGGAAGGCTTTCACCAACTATTCACTTTTGTGTGTTAATCGAACGGAGGAAAGGCTGTATGATGTTCACCGTGATGGGTTACCTCTAATTTCAAGTCCCTGCAGGTGGATTTTCACACTGTGGAGCAATCAATAAAAAACCAACAGATGCCCTGAAATGTAGGAAAACCTACTGAAAATAAAAAGCAGTCAGATATGGCTGTAATTTTAGTCTTTAAAGTTAGTTTTGCTCAAAACAAGTGCAGATACAAGTGCGAATTTTGAATTATTGTACATTTAGTCACGGGAGAAGATATGCTTGTCGTCTAAACGTCAGCTCATAGAGTAGATATCTTTTGAAGTTATAATTCTCATGTCCTGCCTAAAGTTTTGCAGTCAGTGCTTTGGAAAACAGTTTTCCAAAGCACATAAGAATAGTATAAAAAAATGTGGCCACATGCAAAATGCGTGCAAAGGCTGGTGTGGCGTGCCTTGCTCAAGAGCTCCTCTTTGAACGAGGACAGAGCATTTCTTTTTCTCTTTCCCAAATGTTTCCCAGCAGCTGCGGCATCGTTTGAACCTGCAACCTTCTGGTTTCAAACAGTTCAGTTACACACAGACCACAGCGGCACCGGGAGCCTCAGGGGCTGCAGCACACACACACTCTCCAAATCACTCCACTCCACGCACACTGGCGGCTGCTGATATAAATCACAATGGAGGAAGGGGGAGGGGGGGGGGGGGAGGGGGGAGGGAAGGGGGTTTTGGGGTGAGGAGCGAGTCGAGCCGGGCTTTTCCATTGGTCCATTTATCAGGGGAAGTGGCACATTAATAAACACATCTCCCCAGAGGTGAGAGGAAGTAACAGAGATGAATACGGCTGCTAGTCCTGAACGGCTTCATCTGAGCCGCCACGATCGCCGGCCCCGGCCCCCCCGTCACCGTCAACCTGAGCTACATCTCAACTTTAGCTGCTTAAATGTCCAAATTAGCGTCCCATGACACCAGCCCCCCAAACGGTAATGTCTTTGGTAATAAACCTCCCGAGCCGAGGCATCCCTCGAGAAACGAGCGGGGATGTTTTTCTCTTCTGTGGATTTGTTAGATCATCATTCAAATTCCATATGTCCCGGGATGAAGACGTCTCCCCGCCTCCTCAAGTCTCAAAGCACCGATTTCTAAACAGATAGCATATGTTAGAGATTTGTACCGGAGGACATACTTAGAAACAACCTTTTAGCCCCCCCTCATTAAGGACAGCAGTGAAAGCAAACAAAGCAGAGTGAATCAGTGGGGGAGATTACACACCGAGCTTCTCTCTGTCGGAGGAATAAGCTGAACCTCGGGCCGCTCGGTTTTCTGTGACAGGAAGTGAGGGTTTGATCCACGCCAGATGTGGTTCCCCTAGAACGGTTTCTGTGTACAGCGATCAGCAGAGATTGTCATAATGTCGAGCGCGGCAGCCTCGAGGAGAGTTTACATTTATTGGATTTTTGTGTCTTAGTAGTTCTCTTAAAGGAACCCTGAGGAGTTGTCTTGTAAACAAACACAGTTATGAGTCCCTGAGGCCTAACAAAAAATGTTGAATGCCCACGAATGCCCCTCATAAAACATTTGAAAAGCCAAAGTTTTTGCTTCTTGGCACATTACTGCCGCCAGCAGCTGACAGACACGGCCAGTCTTTGAGGTTAATGCCAGCTTCATTTGTGATTTTACATAAAAAGTGAAATGTTTCTAGCAGAGGCAAGATGTCTTAAAAACATTAGCTAGCTGTGATACTTGGATACACCAACCGCAGGTGCTTGGGATGGTGCCTAAAACACGAACCTATACTCAGGGTTCACACACAGTTTGACCAATGAATGAATTTCCAAGACTAAACAAAAGGAAAAAGAACAGGCTCGTGTCTGCACATGGTTTGTAAGAATGATGCCATCGTACCTCCCCAGTTGGTACTTCATTCTTAGACACAGCATCTGTCACTGACGCACTGTTGGGTATCCTCGCCGTGCTGCCCAGGTTGAAAAAGACTTCGCATGCAGCAGCACACAGGTCTTTGTTTCCTTTGGCGTAGCTAGTTCTCCTGCTTCTCCCATGTTTGAAATGTCTTTTACAAGCCACAACGCATACATGTCCTTGTGTAACCAAGCATTATTGCATACACATTTCCCTGGCAGTGTGTATTTTCCAGCTAGGTAACAACACAAGCCCGAAGAAGCGCGTGTACTCTGGCATAAGTGTTATTGGAACAAATTTCCATGACTTTTCCAAAACCTTTGGGATTTTTAGTCTTTTTCAGGCCTGCAAATTTCATGACTTTTCCAGGTTTTTCATGACTTTACAAACCCTGTATGTATAGAGTCTGCAAGCTGCACAACGATAGTGACATTTAAATATATTAAGTCAATTGGTTCAGTCAGTGCATCGGCCAAAACTACCACCAACAAAATAAAATCGAAACTGCTGGGTTTCAAGAAATAGATATGTACTGGAGTATGTGCTGCCAGACTGCACACCCACGCTTATGCACATCTGGAAGCTGGATCGGTGCATTAGAGGCCATTATGCTGTACAATACAAAGTAATACAAGTGACGGGAAAACACATTTACAGAGGCCAGAACCCGTCCAGTTTAACAGGCTCCCAGAAATCAAAGTGAAAGTGGCCCTGTGGTTCAGAGAGACTCCCTGAATGCTTAGCAGAGCTGAAACAATTAGTCAACTAACTGATGAGTTAACTGGCAAAAAAAATAAACAATAATTCATTTCAGTCAATTATCAAACAATAACAAACATTTTCTGTTTCCAGCTTCTAAGATGTGAAGATTTTAAACGTTTCAGACAAAGACGTCACGTTGCTCCGACAAAATCTGATTAACAGCTATCACTGTTTTACAAACATCCACATAAACAAATAGTAGTTTGGGGAAGAGTTTAAATTTCAAGGCCTTGTCTGAATTTACATTTCAGAGCTGAGATCGATCAGGTGGCTCTGCATACATTTCCTCACAGTTGAAATCAATTTTCTGTAAATTGCCCTCATTTAACATCGTGAAGTACAACCCAGACTGTGTGATGTTTATCTGAAGTAATTACGGGGAATTATTGTGGGAAGATTGATTGGTTATGTCTGAATCTTAATGGGGTCGCCACATGTGGGCAGATGTCAGAGGCGTACACAGCTCCTCGTGCAGACACAGAGACCTTACCACAAGAAGTGTTTTAAATGAATCCTCTTGCTCAAAAGGCAGAATGAAACCTGATTTTTGGACTTGACAGACAGCTTCATTAAAAAAACCCAAAATAAAATAAAAAGACTCTCTTATCCTTTTTGTCTGTAATCAAGTTCTTAAAAATTATGTTTGTGAAAGAAACAAGTGAAAAATGATTTCAACTTGAGAGTTAAAGTTCATTTTTGTGGACTTTCTATTCCCTGGGCTTCGCCTTTCAGGCTACAGGCTACAATAATAATGTAATGTATGTTTTGCATTAATTACTGTGCAGTAAAGAATAGTGATCTTTTTAGGGAGAGTGTTTATGCTACATATAACATTCGTGTATACATCGACATGAATGTAAGTTAAAGCATGATGATGATGATGATGATGATGATGATGATGATGATGATGATATAGAGATGTCCCTGAAAAACATGATCTTTTAAAGACTCTTCTTTGATGGTTTAAAGCTGACAAACTGTTTTATTAAATAATCATTAAATTACAAAAACCATCCTATTGGCATCAGTTCCATTTATGATGAGCTACAAATCTTAGTACAAATATTTCTAAATGATTATGAATTTGATGAAATTGTGAATATGATGGTGAATAAGTAGTTAAACATTATGTACTGCAGGTGATTATAAAGCCAATTAGCACCAGGTGTTACAGTAATGGTACCGATTTCCGACTTCCTTCTGAGATACACTACCGGCCAGAAAATTCTTGAAACAGGTTGAAATGTTGCTACTTATTTAAAAAAAAAAGTTAAGTTTTAGGACTCAAATATGGACAGACATTTCTGAAATGAAACAAAACGTAAACCTTCTTCTGTTAGTAATTTGTGTCAGTGGGACAAATTTCAACCAGCTGCAGGTGAGTTGTTGGATTTTTTTGCTGCTGTTTGTGGCACCTCGCCTCCGACCATATCCTCTGCCAGGCTCAGTTTCCATCACTGAGAACAAATTGTTTACTGCACTTATTGATAGGGTTGATCTGTGTCCGTGGGGTTTGAGTGTCGCGAGGAGGCTGCGGCGGCATCCATCACGCCCGTCCCGGCTGGAGCCGAGCGAGCCGCCAGCTCTTCGATCCTGAAATAGTGACACGGGCCGATCCAAAGAAGACGACAGAGTGATGAGGCCTGACTTGTTAGATTTCAGAGAATTGTTATTCTAGATTGAGAGTATTTAGAGTCTCGCAGGGGAGCGGGGGATGTCTTAGGATCAGATTTGAAGGGATGTGCAGCATTTATCACCTCTGTCACATTACGACCAGGGATCTGTGGAGACCTTTGAGCTCCAGTCGGCTTGAACAGGCAGCATTCAACCTTCAACATAAACCTCCTAAATGGGAATTAACAGGATTTCAGTGGTGTTTTTAAGATTTCTTCTTTGTAGATGTATATCTTTAAAAACACCCCACAATGTTTTTATTTTTTAAAAAGGCTCAATAATTTCCTAAAACAACTGGTTACTGTCAGACTAATTCGCAAATGCGTGTTAGTCTGGAACCTCTCTGTTCATTTTCAATTTCCAACGGGCGCAGACCAGAATGCCCCTGGATGCAACCAATCAGAGCAACAAAACATGTGATGTAGCCCCAACCACACACAGGTTGGGGTAGAGTTGTAGTCAAGAGCGCCCAAACAGAGACCAAGTCAAGACCAAGACCAGAGTTTATCGAGACCGAGACAAGACCAAGACTTTTAGGGGCTGAGACCGAGTCAAGACCAAGACCAGAGTTTATCGAGACCGAGACAAGACCAAGACTTTTAGGGGCTGAGACCGAGTCAAGAGCAAGACCAGTTCCCCACATTACATGACACAGAATAAAATGTGGAACGAGATCACAGGTACTTCTCAAATTGGTCTGAAAGATCCACATTCCCATTAAAACACCCACATACAAACACTAAGAGCTGAAATCAACGTAAGCATCTTTATTCAACGCTCCTTTTCCATGTTTACCATCGCGGGGAGGGGGGGGGTCGTTAACGGAAACAAGACATGTTTAATTAGGGTTATTGGTTGCATTTGAAGCAATAAGTTTTACAGCCAGTCAAAGTTAAGATGTTAACTAATAAATCAGACAATGCAAAAGCAGTTTATTTATGTTCCCAAAGTTATGGTCTCGACCGGTCTTAAATCCTGAGTGCTCAATGTCCGAGACCGAGACAAGGCCGAGTCCAAATGCGGTCGAGTCCAAGACGAGAGCAAGACCATCAAAAAGTGTTCTTAAGACCGGTCTCGGGTACTACGACACTATGTTGAGGCGGTGCTTGGTCCGTTTTCACCAGGAGAAAACTGGCATCCTGGTCATGAAGCCAAAACAGCACACTAACAGGTGTTTGTGAAAACATTTGAGGAAGGAAATCACCAACACAGTAACACAATCTTTATTCATATTTGATCAGCATCACCTAGTGTGACAGTTTGATCTGAGTTTTGCGAGCCTGTTGCGTTGTGTTGGACGGACCTACAACCTGATTGGCCCGGTACCTGCAGGCGAGGTCTCAGAGGCTTTTAACAAACAAACATAGTTTTTTATTCTCAGGATGAATCCACATGTGGTGCTGCAGTCAGTATTTGGGGCAGCAGGACGGTGTGTGTGGCACTGAGTCAGGATAAACTACAGCGTGTGTGTTCATGGTGAAGAAGGAACATGTGACCCAGTGCAGCGGGATGAGATGTAGCTCTTATTAAAAGTAACTCTGGATGAGCTAAAATTAAATCACCTGTTGCCTCACCTGTGTGTCCGCAGTGTCGCGGTTCCCCAGCCCCAGACTGACGCCCAGGCTGAGCAGGAAGAGGGCTCTGTCCATCTCGCCGCTGTCGGACGCCAGCATCGACCTGCAGACGATGATCCGCACCTCGCCCAACTCGCTGGTCGCCTACATCAACAACTCGCGCTCCAGCTCGGCTGCCAGCAGCTCCTACGGACACCTGTCGGTCGGAGGGCTCAGGTAAATCGTTTGTTGTTTTTCAGAGGGCTGACATTTGGCACGGAGGTCAAGTGTGTGTGTGAAAATGGGCGCGGCAGTGGGAGGGGCCTATCGCAAAGTAACATTCATGTAACATGACACACACACCCTTAAGCCACGTCCCCTTTCATAACTCATGAACCGGTTCTCGTAGACTCTAGTGGGGGGGGGGGGGAACTTCCTTACATCTTTGTTTTGTTCCCTCCCTGATCACTTCTTTCCTTAACTCTTCAGTCCTATCCTACCTCCTACTTTCTCCTTTCCCTCTCTACTTCCCTTTTCCCTTATCTACCTCCTCATTTCTTTCCTTACCTTCTAATGTCCCCAGCTCCTTGCTTTCCTGCCTACATCATTCTCCCATTTCCTTAGTAAAAACATGCAGGAGCGATGAGAATCTGATCGTCATCTTCTTTTTTCCTCCTTGCAGCCCGTCCTTCCCCTTCCCTCATCCCATCAACCCCATGGCCTACCAGCAGCTCCTGTCCCAGCAGCGGGGGCTCAGCGCCTTCGGCCACACTCCGCCTCTCATCCAACCTCCGCCCACCTTCTCCAGTCGCCAGCCGGGCCTGGGCCTCTCCTCCCTGCCCGCCTCCGCCCACAACAGCGACCTGCCGTCCAAGGTAAAAACACACGTATTTTAAAGCCTTTTATCATATTAATTTGCTCAAATGCAAATTTTGGAACAACAAGAGTTATTCCAGAAAGTAAAGAAAGGATATTTGAATGTTTTCCCGATTTAACTCAACTTTTTTTCTAAAGAAAAGGTCTAAATTTAAACGCAACAAACTTTTTATCCACATTTGAATAAAACACTTTTATTTAATTTCCTGAGTTTGTCCAAAATATAAATTTTTGTTGTGTAAACTTAAACTAAAGTATATCAAATCTGTATTCTGCCCCCACTTATTGGTCTGGATTTCCCTTTTATCCTTTGAAAAAGTTTTTAATGTTCGAATTACACAGTTTATGTTGACCTGACATGAAACTGATCATTACAGAGTTAATGATAAAAGAGAAGTTCATCATCTTTGTGAGATTTTACAGTGTAGTGCAGCTACCTGCCTTATTATTTCTTGTTTAAAGATAGAGACATATACATTCAGAAGGTTAAAACAGGTTGAAAGAATAGAAATAGAATTGAAATACAGACAGAAATCAGGAGTCTTAAGATGAAGATAAGTTTAACATTCGCCAGATCTTGAAGACCGGCTTCTGTTTGTGTTGCTGGAACATTTACACGTTAATGTTTATGTGGTTAAGAGATTTAAAATAATTTAAGTTTGTGTACTTTAATGCACTCAGTATTAATCACCCCTCCCGTTGTAATTTAAACAATTTCTCTGTGGCGTCTGGCCTCCAGGTATTTCTCGCTGGCAACTTCTGAAACAACTATGTAATAACCAAACCTGGACTTGAGCTGCTCCAGTTTCCAACTGTTTGCTCTCGCAGTGGATTTAGTTTGCCATCATCTTTTGATCTCAGCATCATCACCCCCCCTCGCTCGGTTGCAGCGTACTGGTGTTTTGATTTGCGGTGTCAGCCTCGGCACATGTAATCAGTGTGTACAGCGTCCCCTCGGAGGTAAACTCTCGATGGGGGAGGCAGTTTGGAGGGAGACCCATCATTTCTCTCCACCCACACAGTCCCAACTTGGTTTTGACTTTTTATCCTGTCAGCTAGTCGAGTAATTGCTGACTCAGCCCTTAATTACAGATGTGTGTGAAAGGTCAACGAGTGCATGGGAAGACATTCATGTGTTTCTATGACTTCCATGAAATAATAAAATCAATTAACAACCACCAAAGAAGAACATAAGTCTCTTTAAATCTTTGATCCTCTGATACATTAAATCTTATATGAATTCTTCCACCAGATGTGAGATTAATCTTGAATTTTCTCTTCTTTCTTTAATCAGAACCTCAGTGGAGACTCAGCAGTCAGCAGCACAGTTGACCCCATGATCACCAAAAGGTCAAAGGTCAAGACTGAAGCAGAGGGGTTGAGGCCGCTGTCTCCTTGTTCACCGGTATGATAAAAAAAACATCATATTTCACAGTCAAATAAGTCTTTTACTAAGAGCAGGATCAAATTTCAAATGGTAAAGTATTTCTTATGTATCAGTGTTATTCTTTCATAAAACCTCTGAGGAGTTATAGTGTGAATCCCTAAAATTAACAATTTAAACATCAAACCTTGGAAGACGACTAATGGCGTAAAATTATGTCTCTATTCAAAGGAAGTCTGGTAAGAAACTTCAGATCGTAGTTGAGAAAATGTAGTTAACTTTGTGACCCTGTACGCAGGATGAGCGGTTGATGATGGATAATTATTATGCAACAGTAAACTTTCAGCAAATATTTTTCTTCCAAAATGACATGATACAGCAACAATTTACACTGACTGTAACTGAGACAATCAGAGTGAGGAACTTTTAAACACTCATTTTACAAAGTGAAGACTTTGTTACGAATTTGGGATATTTTTTGGAAAGTGAAGATATTTTTTAGAAAGCCAGGATATTATCTGGATAACAAGGACATTTGAAAGTCAGAATATTTTGGAAAGTGAAGAGGGTTTTGAGAAGCGAGGGTGTTCCTGGAAAGCAAAAGGAAACTTTTGGACAATGAGGACATTTATGCAGAAGAGCTGACCTCCTGCCTTTTCTTGCCATTCCCCCTCTGCGTCCTGATCCGTGGCGTGACTCGCGGCCCAAGGGACCCGCTGCCTCCCGTGACCCCCTTGTAAAACGCGTCTTCGAGTAAAAGAAAAAGTCCACCTGATAAGAGCTTTGCATCCCCCCCCCTCTCCCTGGCCACTGTAAACTGTGCCAGAGCACTTCATTTTCATGAAATATTGGCCGGGCTTTATTGTCATCTGAGGAGCCTTTTTCTCTTTCTTTTGACAAATTTGCAGCTCCTCTCCAATAGCGAGGCAGGTTTGGGCTTGATGCATGGGGACGGCGGTGCGCGCAGTCGTCTTGGGGCCACCAGAATTGATGAAGATAGCGTGCGTGGGGCAGACAAACATGCTGCAGTCAGCACGTTGTGTGTGTGTGTGTGTGTGTGTGTGTTGGTGGAGGCGTACAGGAAGCCGGGTGGGACAAGCTGTGTGTCAGTTTCTGTCTTTTCTCTCTTTCACATGCGTGTGAGCTCCTGTACAAACGTCTGTGATGACAATTTGACATTTAAACATTGAGCATGAGGACATTTCTGTCTGTGTAACAACATTTTTGGAAAATAAAGTAATGAATGAAAGTTACTTTTTTGAAAGACTGGACTGTATTTTGGAAAAAAGGACATTTTTAAACGTGAGAAAGTGCAGGTATTTTGGGAAGTGAGGACATTTTGGAAGATAAACACATTTTTATGTTTGAGGATATTTCTTGAAAGTGAAAGACATTTTGTTAAACTTGGGAATTTTTTCTTGGAAAGTGAGGACAATTTGTCTGGTCCTCACTTCTTCTGGTTGCAGCTCACACGTACAGAAGCAGAGACGTGTGTTTATTCCTTGCTGTCAGTAGAAGAGAGATTTTTGGACTTTTTAAAGCAGTTTTAGCAGAACGGTTGCCACCTGTTGAAAGAGAGTCCTGACCCTACAGTCTGACTTCGAGTGTGAGTTTTCTATTGTTTGAAACACAAAGATCACGTAGTGGGATTTTTTGGTTGGTTTAGGTTCACGCTGCCTGATTACAAGGGGAGCAGGACTTGTAAACAGACGCCACGTGTGTGTTTGTGGTGGAGGTTGTCAAAACAAATCTGATTCCAACATCTTTAACTTTAGTGAAGCGTGATGGACTTGTGTGCGCTTTAATCTGTAATTTACAGTCTCTGGTGTCCTTATCAGGTAAAACATATGAACAAAAAGAATATGAGTCCTAACAGCTGACACTAAACTGTTCCACGTGTGTTTGGTGCAAACACGCCCTCAGTGTGAAGTATAAATCACCTTGTTTCAGTTCGTTTTAACCGATTTTCAGGGTCTTTTGATCTGGGCTTCACAGAACCATCACGGCAGCTTGTCGGACCTGAAGGACGACGTGGATCGGGACGAATGTAAGCAGGAGCCCGAGGCCGTTTACGAGACCAACTGCCACTGGGAGGGCTGCAGCAAGGAGTACGACACACAAGACCAGCTGGTCCATGTAAGTGTGTGTGTTTGTACACGTTCACACTGCACTATTCGTCTTGGATCAGATCACAGATTAATCATCCTAAAATAAGATATGACTTTGTTTTATTTGCATTTTTGCAGCGCATGCAAAGATAACTGAGGCTCAAAACCACATCTGGCAGCTCTTATCAGGAAAGACAGAGTTAAGATTACTTCCTCAAACCACTATCCCAAACCTGAAGGCGTAACTCGAGATAGAAAACACTTGAGATACCTGGATTCTGATATGAATCTGGATTCTCTGTTTACATTTAATCCTGGGAGATGCACACTTTCCAACTGTCCAAACCATCATCAGTTTCGCTCTTTCCCCATCACAGCAAGCAGAGTCTTGGTTAAAAGGGTCTTAGGCATTCCACACCTCCAGTGAAGCAGAGAGAGAAAAGAGGGAGCAGGGTGAGGGGATTACTGAGGGTCTGGGGGGCCAGTTAGGGGGGCCCGTTGTTCGTCATTCATTAAACTTAGATTCTTCTTTCTGTCTGAAGAAAATCCCACATAAACCACCTCGCCGCCGCCTGACCTCTGACTGTTACAGCTGCTATGTGTGGCATTTTAAAACATCAGTGTTTCATTGGCAACATAATTCTGATGCTTTGATGTGATTCCGGTAAACAAATGAGACCGTGGTCGAGATAATTGCCAGCAGTATTGTTACAGCGCTATTGTCTTCTCCAAATGAAGACCACATTTCCCATAAACTTCATAATTTCCTTTCCTCTCTTTGGCAGCGCTCCACCGGTTTTCTCTTCAGGTTTAAGGATGAGCATGCAAGGAATCGATCACACACACAGACACCCTGAAAGATGTAACCTATTTTGGAAGAACAGTGCCCTCTTCTTCTTGCAAAAAATAGCGAAATGCAAAGAATTTGGTGCCATTGTGTCTTTGTAGAGACAAAAACCACAACCTAGCCTCACAGACCGTGTCTGCAACCTGCACTTAGCCGGAGAGATAATTTTCTTCCGTAACTGTTATATATTCTAGATTCATTAAACATAGAGGGAAATATTTCAAACCTTTTCTTCATTTTAATCTCGGTGATTACGGCTTGTGGAAATCAAAACTCCAGTATCTCAGAATAAATAATTTATAATACAGAAATGTTGACCTGAGAAGAGCTCTAATCAGCTGCCGATTACTCAAAACACCCGCTAAGGTTTGAGCCTTTAATCTCCCAGTCAAATGAGAGACACTGTGTTAATACGTGAGCTTTAGAGGTCTCGGTCGGTGTATTTTTGTTACTTTGGACAGAGCCCGGCTAGCTTATTCCTACGGTTTCTAGTCTTTGTGCTAAGCTAAGTGAAACAGGTCCCGAGTCCAGCACTTGAGATCCATCTGAACATCTCACTTTTGGAAAGATAAGCAAATAAGCATGTTTACCAAAATGTGGAACAATCCCTTTAAAAAAATAGGAGGTTTAGGACACCAGAGACAGAAATGACATGAGAAGGAGATAATTTTTGCAGTACCACCGATTTTATGTGACTGCTAGAAAATATATTTTAGTGAGAAAGTGGTATATGTACCAAAATGGAAATAAGCCGTCTGGCTTTGTTGTGTTTTTATCCTTTTGACTGTATCTGTAGCTGCGGTATCTCTTACTGGAGGCAGCACTTCTATATTCACAATCAGTAAAGAAGTTCAATCAATCAATGTAGATCACATTATTATATCAGGTCTATTAACTCTTAACTGTTCTCAAGTGAAACAACATAAAGACACTGCCTTTAAGAAAATTACATTGTGGGAGAAGATCTGGATTTCACTCTTAAACCCGACTTTCATTTGGGCTGTTATAAAGAATCTATGCGGTCCTAATTAGTGGGACTGTAACACTTTTCTCTGCTGCAGCCCTCCTTTGAGATTTACACTGATAAGATGGATTTCTACAGAAAGATCCTACCGAGAACAACATGAGAGCCTCTTAGTGGACAACTCTCTCCAGAAAACCTCTCATTTCTCTGTGTGTGTGTGTGTGTGTGTGTGTGTGTGTGTGTGTGTGTGTCCCACAGCACATCAATAATGACCACATCCACGGAGAGAAGAAGGAGTTTGTGTGCCGCTGGGAGGACTGTTCGCGGGAGCAGAAGCCCTTCAAAGCTCAGTACATGCTGGTGGTTCACATGCGCCGACACACAGGGGAGAAACCACACAAGTGCACGGTGGGTAACGGATGGCCTCGGCGCCCCCACGGGTCCCGACGGGCTCCCGGAGGGCGGCAGCTCACACTCTCTAAACACTGGCAACCGTACGTGATTCTGCACACGCGAGTACACATCTAGTTTTTTCACAGATACTGTAGGTACAACACACACCCCGGGGAGGCAGGACTGAAGATTTCTTTCTTCTTCTACTCATTGCAGATTATATAAATACATTAATCTTACAGCTACTCTTTCATCTGGGGTGGCGTTTGTGAAAACATCTATAAGAAGTAAAATACCTCAAGGCCAAGAGGTTAAAAATACTTGTACTACTGCATATTTTGAACTGTGTTCTCTCCAAAACGACTCACACGATCAGCATTTGTCAACAATAGGTTCATTTATGCAAAATTATCCCTTAATTCCCTTACGTACAAACATGCCGCTGTCGGACAGTTGAGATGCTGGTTGTTAAATATTCGCAAAAATATTAATGATAAATGGTCAAAGTGTTCCTGTCAGAGGCCAAAACAGACTAACGTTGGCGGGGGGGTTTTCTGTTCCTCTGCAGTTCGAGGGCTGCTCTAAGGCCTACTCCCGTCTGGAGAATCTCAAAACTCATCTGCGCTCGCACACCGGCGAGAAACCGTACGTCTGCGAGCACGAAGGATGCAACAAGGCCTTCTCCAACGCCTCGGACCGAGCCAAACACCAGAACCGGACACACTCCAACGAGGTACACAACAAGACTTTCCTTCCTCACACACTGAAACTTCACACAGACTCCTTTATAGAGAGCTCCATAAGAAATTCTCTCAGAGAGCTGACGGATGTGGCCGAGATGAAACTCTGCAGAGAGGGACAGGAGTTCACCTTTAAGTGCGGCCTCCTTTGTATCAGCATATCAGGCGGCACAGGAGGATAATTCCCTTCCTGTTTCCCGTCTGCTTTCGCACAGGTGTGGACGACTATGTTTATGTGTTGCTTTGTCTGCAGACGTTTGTGAGTAAATAATGACGTGTAGACGTGATGAGCATGACCCACAACGCATTAGGGCAAATCATGCTCGGCGCCTCCACCTTCCGCCCTGCAAAGTGAGACCACCTGCAGACGGCGAACAGAAAATGAAATCTGGAAGCGTTTCAGAAACCTGGCTGCTTATCCTTCAGTAGGACTGCAGAGTGGGAATTCACACGCTGAGGGCTGTCGTACCACACACACACACAGATGTGCACATATACAAGCACCTGTACATTTACTATATGCATACCTAACTCAGTGAAATACCTAGAACCAGCACACTTGTAATCTCGTATGGCAGATAAGTTACTTCAGATCGATTACAACACAGAGAAATGTCATTGTTGATTTATTTAAACGTAAAAAAAAAGGTAAGTTTGATCACAGGACTTCTCTGAAGTAGGTAGCTCAACTTTGATCAACATCTGTATATTTCTTTGTATCTGTAGAAACCCTATGTATGTAAGATCCCCGGCTGTACCAAGCGCTACACAGATCCCAGCTCTCTCAGGAAGCATGTAAAGACAGTCCACGGCCCGGATGCCCACGTCACCAAGAAACAGCGCAGCGACCTGCCACCGAGGCCCCCGGGGCCCAGGGAGAACGGCGAGAACGAGACGGGTAACGGAGAGAGAATCCAGAGGGAGGACAAGATATCAGACAGCAGCTCCCCCAGAGGCATAGAGGACTACCTGCACGTCAAATCCATCAAGACTGAAAGCTCTGTGGTAAGAATGATCAAATTTCAAGGAACAGATAGAACTTTTTTAACAATCAATGATCATAAGTTTTTCTTTTTTTTTATATATACTGTGCAAAAAAGAATACCACATACCACAGACACTACGCACACAAATCATAAATATATTGAATACACTAAACCGAGCAGCAGTATATTCAGTGTTGTGGGTGGTAAACTATATTAAATTACTGCAGCTATTAAGGGGAACAGACTAAAATGCAGGATACTTAATAGAGAGTATTAACATTGCTCTTTGTTAATAGAAATATTAAAGTATTGAGTTGTAGTCCGTCAGTCCTGCATGCCTCTTTACCCTAACCTGCCTTCTGCTTGCTGCTTGACTGTCTACATTTCTCTCCCTTTTCTGACTTTCCGTACGGACAGACCTTGCTAAGGTGAGCTCTCCTTTGGCTTATTATGCCACCTTTCACCATTTTACAGTACACCATCTTTTGCCATCTTGCAACGTCTTTTGCCATTTTACTCTGTCAACCATAAAGCAGAATTAAGACTGGTGTATTGTTGAAGCTTTGGTTTTTCGGGGGGGGGGGGGTCCATTCCCTTTCTTGTGTTCACCGTCTTGCAGAAAATGAAGGCTGACCAAAAAACACAGCTCTTTGTGGGCAGCTGCAGGAGCTACGCAACTGTCTTATCCATTAAGGGATGTTTACCTATTAACTACTGACTTGTGCATTGCTTAAAATGCAGATACTGTATAGCATTTTGGAATCACACTGTTTTTTATCAGCTGCAGCGGGGTTTTGTTTCCTGTAATACACTCACACTGCATGTCATCTTTGATACCGTGCATGTCACTTTTCCTTTACACATGCAGTTTAAATCTACAGTGGAGACCTACTGAACACATGTCAGAGAGCCTGAACGTGATAAAAGCCACTCCAGGATTAATATTCAAACATTGGGAATTGGTTTTGGAGCTCTGTGCAAACAGAGCCAACTATCAAGCTGTGATCAAGCTTTTTAGCTGTGAATATATTAAGAGTGTGCAAAGAAACAGAGGCTGGTCAGGGCCAGGGATACATTTATCTATCATCTTCCTAAGGAAAGAGATATGAGGGATTATTCAGAATGTTGAACCATATAACAAATTGATTCCCATTTACTCCAGTATAAATAAATATTAATGATATTACTGCAGAAAATGTCAAAAAATCTGCTTGACATCTCATAGTCCTGAGTTGAAGTATCAGTAATATTAGCTGGAAGGACATCTGGCATATGTCAGAATTGGAAAACATTATTACAACTTCAATCATCAGAACAATGATTTCAGAGTTCACGTGAAAGCTGAATGGTACTTTTTTGTCTTTGTTTATTCTTGCCCACTCACATAAAGTACATGATAAAACTAAGAAGGATTTTTAAAAAGGCAATAAAATCTTGTCCATGTGAAAGGAACAAAACCCCAAAGGCTTTTTACTGGAAATCTAACTGAAACATTTCGGTGTGACAAGAAACACTTCTTGCTCACCTAAATGTTCAGAAGAGCCTCCACCCTCAGAGTTCAGTTTTAGAAAAAAGAAACGTGATCACATCTTGTGATGATTGGCTTGGCACTCTGGCTCGGGCTCAAGCAGCCTTTCATCCTGCCCATTTCTAATTCACAGACAGACTATGACAGTCTGTAATCTGTGGTGCACCCCCACCTCTTCACCCCATCCCCAAAAACACTCATTATTTACAGTTAAGCTGGGGGAGGATAAAAGATCCAATGATTTACTGTTCTTTGTGCCATGTTAACCATTGTTCCACTTTTGTTTTTCAGTACAAACAGTCGAGTCTTTTCATCGTTTCTCATGCTCTTTTTATCTTGTCCACTCTCTTTCTTCTCTTTCTGCATTTCCTCCATCACTCTCTCTCCTTCCTCTTGATCTTCCCATGTCCCTGATCCATTCCTCTTTCTAGATGTATCAGTCCAGCCCTGGCGGTCAGTCATCATGTAGCAGCGAGCCATCACCACTTGGCAGTGCCACCAACAATGACAGTGGAGTAGAAATGGCGGCGCACAGCGGGGGAAGCCTGGGGGACCTCACCACCCTGGACGACCTGCCCTTTGTGGAGTCCTTGGGCTGTGAAGATTCCACCGGCGGGGTCGCGGTGGCCGGTCTCTACTTCCGAAAGCAGCTCGGCACCAGCCAGCGCCTGGAGCATCTGAAGAAGGAGAAGCTGAAGACAGTGAGGGACTCGTGTCGGTGGGCAAGCAACCCAACACCCCTGGTCACCGGCACCAAGCTCCCACCCATACCAGCAAGCGGTGAGTAGAAAGAAAAAGAGCTCCCAATATAACAAGCCACCTGATATTCTCCTTTGAGCTCAGGTTTGGTTTCTACCAACTCCTTAAAGAAAAATACCTGAGTCTTTAGCTTCATGAAGTTCCACTTTATCTAACAGCTAGTTGCTAAAACTGTTTAGTGGTGACATGGATTTGGTTATCAGAGCTTGATTGCTGTAAACTCCAGAATACTACTGTCGGAAATTAGGTTAATGAGCGTGTTTAGACTGTAGGTTAAATGGCTGACACTAAACAGCTCCAAAGAGCTGCAGAGTTGGTGAGAAAAGTGTCCAACATTTTAATCTGTTCATTCACAGGGTCCCTCCTGGAGAGTCCAAGTATGGGTGGTTGTCCGGAGTCCTTCCCTGGTTCCGGCTTGGGTGATCTGAGTTCTGGTAAAATGACTCTGTTGGACCTTTCAGAGCGCCGTGACAGCACCACCAGTACCCTGAGCTCAGTTTACACCCTCAGCCGCCGCTCCTCAGGCATCTCCCCTTGCTACTCTAGTCGGCGCTCAAGCCAGGCCTCGCAGTTTGGAGTCAACCGCCCCAGCAACCTTAGCTCTGCCGACTCTTACGACCCCATCTCTGCCGACATCTCACGGCGCTCCAGTGAGGCCAGCCAGTGTGGGGGAAGCAGTGGAGGATTAGGAGGGTGTGGCAGAGGGTGCTTACCCAGCCCTCTCAGCCTGACCCCAGCCCAGCACTACCACCTCAAGGCGAAATACGCTGCTGCCACCGGAGGTGCACCACCTACGCCTCTTCCATACATGGACCGAATGTGTCTGAAGACCCACACAGCCCTGTATGGGGACTCCCAGGAATCCTCCACCACCAACAAAGGCCTGCTCTCCAGGCAGTACAGCAGCTACACCACGCGGAGCATGATGCCCCATGAGGTCCCGTCTAACATCCCCCGCCGAGCCAGTGACCCTGTGAGACGCGTGGCCACAGATTATGTCAGCCAGCCACAAATGCAACGCTACAATAGCATGGGCGTACTGAGCGGAGGGGTGACCATGCAGCCCCATCCGCCTCCAGCAGCGGATCGCCAGCTTTTATCCCAGCAAGGGGGCCTGGATGGCAGTCTCCACCGCTACCCTTACAGCCTGCGACAGCCCAGCATTTCGGAGAACGTCACCATGGAGATGATAACACGTGACATCCCTGAGGAAGACCTGATGCTGTCTGACCTCGGCACTGAGAACCAAGACACAGCCAACAGAGTGTCAAGTAATCAGCAAGATTTCCAAGGAAACCCTGACTTCCAGCAGCAGTCGTACTATCAGAGAAGGATGGCCGTCATGAATACCAACATGAACCAGCCCAATCAGGTTTTAGCCACCGCCAACATGAGTCCAGGGCAGCAACGACAGATGTGTCCATCTTCACCGCGGGAAAGTAAGGCCAAATCACTTGCTCAGTGGAACAAAGTTTCTTCGAGACCTTTGGATGCCGGCCAGCACTTCTCCAAACCACAGGTCCGAGGGAACCTGGCTGTCCTCCAGCAAAACCAGAACTTTGGATCATTTCACAACAATCTCAGCTCCAACCAACAGATGATTCAAAACTTCATTAAGACAACGCAGCAGAGATGCAAACAGCTGAACACTGAACCAGGAGCAAACTGCTTCCAGCAGCAGAGATTCCAGCAGTCGTCAAATCTCACTGGAGCAATTAGCTCTCAGTACAGGTTTAACAAAGGCATCAGTCCTTATGATAAGAATGGTAACACCACGTATCCACCATGTAATAACACAACAGCAGTCAATGGGAGCATGCTAAGCCCCACATGCAAACAGGAGCCAGTTGACTTAGACACTGTTGACATGCTCTTTGCTGATGCTGGATTTCAGCCTGTGGAGGTTAAAATTGAGGACTGTGATGGATCAATCATGATTTCAGATCAGCAGAACTGTAACATGACCTCCCAGAATCCCTTGCAAACTGGGAATCCGAGCCATCTCCAGCCAAGGCCACCGACAGAACCTAAATCTATAAAAAGGCACCTTCCCGGGCCAAAGGTGATGCAGCAAACAAGGCACCCAAGTAATGCTAACCAGGATGATGCTTCCAAATTACCCAGCAGTGGAGTTCTAGGACTTAACTGCAGTAGCAACTCTGATGACCATGCCATGTACTACACGGGGCAGATTCAAGTATTTGAGCCTAACGGGAACTTGGGCCATCATGTTTCTCCTGTGGTGAATGTACCTCCTTTTGAAAATGATGCAGTGTCTTCCAGTTCAGGAAACAACCAGGCGTCAAGAACTGTAGACTGTAATGCAGCACTGGAGCAGGCGCAGATAGACTTTGATAGCATGCTGGACGATGGGGATCACTCCAGCCTCATGTCAGGAACCTTGAGTCCAGGTCTGCTCCAGAGCTTGTCCCAGAGTTCATCTCGCCTAACGACGCCCAGAAACTCGGTCACGTTGCCCTCTGTGCCGATAGCAACGGGCAACATGGCCATTGGGGACATGAGCTCGTTGCTGACTGCTCTGGCGGAAGAGAACAAGTTCCTCAACTTGATGTCTTAACCACATGTCGTAGTAAACTGTTTCCCCCGACAGAAACGTTTTTGCAGAATCTTTGGACACCTGATGCACAATAAACATTCAACCAACTTAAAAACTGACGTGATTGTGTGCCAAAAAGCTTCTGCAGTGTGTGACTCATTTTCTTGTACAGTCTCATTTGTTAATTATTTAAAATGGCAATTTTCTATCTTTTTGAAAAGCCGTATTTCTGTTTTTTCGCCTTAGCTAGTAAATATGATGTAAACAACAGAGTTATTTCAGTTGTTGTACAGGACTGCATTGAGATCAGTTTACTAAGTGCCTGGCTCAGCCAAAACATGTGCACAACATGCATATGTTTACATTTAAAAAGGTGCAAATGCAACCAGGTAATTATCTGATACCTACATACTTGGAATGTACCATCACCACCAACTTGTTTTACACTGTAATTTACTTGAGCTGAACTTTATTCTATATCAAGTTGCTCATTTCTGCTTGAGGAGCAAACTGATTATAACCTTTTCTCCCCCTCCGTCATCACAACATTTCAAGTTTACAGTCACTGTCCTTGGTGAGCCATTATTTGATTGCTGCATTACTGTTGAGATTAACTTCGACATCTCAATGTCAGGCATCAGAGACTTGATTTGTGCCGGAATTATCAACCCATGCATAAATTGGTTGTGCTCTTGCAGCGAGACGAGCATAAGACATCGGAAGAGAGAATCAGACTTTTTTCTTTCGTACATTGTTGTACCAGTTTGTTGTGCTGGCTAAATGTAAATATCATTTGTACATTTTTAAGAAATACAATATTGACATTGATTTTTTTAAACAAATACTGTTTGTGTTGTCCTTCATACAAATGTTTTTGAGGTTAGACGAGTCCAGATTGTCAAGAATAGGATCAGAAAGGTTCGACAACAGATCTTTCAAAATGAAGAACAAAATATGTTGTTTCGTATTGCTTTTAAAAATCCAACTGAGAGTTTTTTGATTTTACGTCCATCTCTTCAGGACATCATTTGTTAGTGTTCAGGATTCCTGATCTGCCACCCTTATGGTTAGGGTTTGTTAGAAAACTACTTGGTCAGGGTAAGATCATAGTTTGGGTTACGAGGTTATTGAGTCTTTGTCATGATGGTTTAAAATAAAAATCCTTTTTATCTTCTTGGTTAAGGAAGAGAAAGATCCTGGTCATGGTAAAATAAAGTCAATTGACCGGTAGGAAATAGGAAAAGCCTGTCAAAATCACCCATGTATTCATCCCAACTTCCTCCCTACAACGTTTTGCAGAACTATAACGAAGCTACGTCATGCTACTTCCTCCTAAAAAACGAGTCATAACATGGCCACTCGCTGTCAGTTGTCTTGAGCTGCAACAATTAGTCGATCAACAGAAAAGTAACCAGCAACTAGTCTGATAATCGATTAGTTTGTCAAGCAAAAATGCCAAACGTTCAACAGTTCCAGCTTCTAAATTGTGAGGATTTGCTGTTTTTCCTTCTCATACATAGTAAACTGAATAACTTTGGTCACTTCGAGCTTCAGGAAATTGTGAAAAGCATTTTTTTATGTTTTAGTCACCAACCAATATATTGATTGTTCAAGAAAATAATCATCCAAATACTCAATGATGAAAATAATTAGTTGCAGGCCTTCATAAATCGTATTTAGGCATTTGAACAAACAACTGATGTCATTTCAGTTAAAAAGTCTTTCAGTTTGAATTCACTAGCTTTATATAAACAAAACCAGGCTCTGGAAATGAGACTGCTCTCGTAGCTCAGCTGTGAACTCGGCCTGTTTCCCAACATGTGCTGTCATCCACTGCTTCTTCTTGTAACTGAGTAAATATTATTATTCATCAGGCTGTCCCTTGATTGCTTCCTGTAGAAGGAGAAGTGTTGATCGCTTCAATAATTCAACAACAAAACTTTTGTCTTTGAAGCCACGTTCCCGCACCCTTTGCCGACAATGCACTTTCCTCAAACCTTTCTTGTTGAATCTCAGACTGAGGCGCCACACATTCTTAAGACGTTGCTCGACCTCTTTCAAGGCGGCTTTGAAATAACTTCCCCTGACCTCGTCTTACCTCGCCGGCAAGAGCAGGCTTGACATAATGTAAATTCTCACTCGGAAGCTGATGAAAAAGGACGCTAACAGGAGGGGAAAAGGCTAGACGCATGCAGAGCGGCTGCTGCTGCTGCTGCAGTTAGCCTGTGTGTACTTCAATATTAGCTCTGACAGAGCGGCCCAGAGGACGCAGCTGCTGAAACCACATAAAACAAAAGCAGCTGAGAGGAGCGAGAGGTTCCGGGGACGCAGAGCTGAGCGTTAGCGAGAGGAACAAATGATTTTAGTCTGTCAGGGAATTCAGCCGAGGATACGTTTGATCTGGAGTTTGTGATTGCTTCTGCCACTGGAATTCCTTATTCTCTCTGAGATGTGAAGTGGGAGAGAAAATAGCCCGGGGCTGTGAAATCCAACCAGGCCCCGAACAAGAGGTGGAGATAAGACTTGCAAAGATCATGCATTACCAGCACCTTCATTTATTGATGGAGATAAATGAGCGAGAAAGATGAAAGACGGGTTTCAGCACTCATCATCTATAAATTCATAGATTATAAATGTAATTATGGTTAGTTATAAAAGAACAGATATCAATCATGGAAATGGGATGTAAGTAAACTCCAAATAGGATGATTATAGAGGGACATTTTCTAGCAGATAGTACTTTTTTAAATTTGAAACTATATCCTACTGTGGCAGTGCAACCCAAATTCATATTAGGTATTTAACCTCTTCATCCAGAGGTTCCCCATTTCCAGGGTAGTCATCCCTCAACCTCAAACAATGACGTAGTGCATGTGTGAATACCTTAAGGTTATAACTATTATGTTGTCGTTTTGGAGACATGTAGGCAGGCCTGCCCACAGAAATAACTGGGTCCCTGAAAAGGTCCAGTAAATGGGACCTCCGGAAATCTGTTTTAGTCATGTCAACGCATGCTGTGCTCTGTCTCCATCTCCTACATAAACACATACATGGCATGCGGTGCACTGGTTTTAGTTTGACGTTGCGTACGACAAACATTACTCATACCATTTTCAGGAGACGGGGTTTTCGTTATGAAACAGGCTATATTTTACTAAACCAACATTTAAAAAAAAATTATTTATTGTTATTTTAATACGTAATGTTTTTTTGGCTCAAAATTAAATTTGGCTATTATTGCTTTTATTTAGAATGAACATCATTAGCGCTGGACTGCATGGGCCCCCCTAGCAGCTGGGCCCCTGAATGCTTTCCCCTTTTTTCCCCCCCTTATGGGCGGCCCTGCATGTAGGACACACATTTTCAAGGCATTTTTGGAGTCAAGTCATTTTTATCTCTTTCGCCTCATTTCACAAATTACACATTTCCCTTAAGGGCCTTTGCAATCGATGCAGCATTAGACAAAGGGACAATATTTCACTCAGTAAGCCTCCTTGACACAAAGGCGTCTGTCCATATTGTGACATTGTGGTCCAAACATGTGTCATTAAAGCACTTTGAATGCAATCATTTTCAACTACAGCACATATGATAGAACTTTGTATCATGCTGCACAAATTCTCTTTTAGGTTCAGTAACCGCGTTTTCTGTTTTTCACCTCGTGAAATGAAAGATTAGACATCTGTTTTTATGCTGTTATTAAGGAAATTTATCAAAATCTACTGGTTACTGGTGGGAAATGCAACATTTATTGAACATACTTTACCTCCTCCTGCAGAAGTCTGTGAAACCATCTCATAGTTTAAACTTTAAACCTCGCTGGCCTGTGATTAAGTAAACAGAAAAAGAGATCCATTAGAAATATCAGCAAAGAGCTAATGTCCCATGCCAAATACTGTAAAACAACAAAAAGGCATCCCATCGCTGAGTTTTATTTTTATTTTTCCCTTCTTTCTATGTCTATGTCAGGTCATTAAGTGGTAAGTGCAGAGTCGGGGTGTCCTCATGGCCCACGGTTGAGGCTGTGAAGACCGTGAACCGCAGCATCACTAATTCAATAGCAATCCAGGACCTTTGTTGCAGGTCACTCCACTCATTTCCTGCTTTTTAATAAAGACATCAAATTGCAAAAAATAAACCCGCAGACAGCTCTGACTAACAGACTCTGATGTTGAACGGTGACATGGATGAACAAAAGGATCCTATTAATTTGGCAACTTCACTTAAATCTGCAGGCCTCAAATGTCTGAGCATCCAACGGGCATGTGTTCACATCATGAACTTTCCCAGACTTCTGACCCCAGCAAGAGAAAGAATACAGAACTAAACCAAACATCAGTCTAAGATAATGCCCCCAAAAGATGAAAACTGAAATCACAGATCTCCAATTCAATCAACAGTTAATTCAGTGGAGCAAACGCTGGAAAACAAAATTGCCGGACCTTTTTCTGATTTTCAAAATGAACACAGATTAAATTACACATTAAGCTACTTAGCTAAGTCGTCTCTAATCAGCACTTTAGGTTTTACAAGCCGAACTCCTTGCGGGGCAGTAAACAGGCCTGTCTGCTGAGAGTTTAAAGGGCTTCGGAGGAATGTGTTTTACAGCGAGCGCCGCATTCTCCGGCATCTCTCTGGGCTTTGCGTTAGAGAGACTCTTTATGAGCGACAAGGTTTTCAAAACAAATGTCAACGCAGCTGTCGGCAGCCCAACGCACAAACACTGCCACCTACAGTAGAGAATCACCTTAATTTAATCTTCAGTCAAACGAGAAGACTTTCCCGTCCACCTTAACGGGCCTGTGGCTGATTGGCTGAGCAGTACAAGAAGGCATGGAATGAAAAATCCATCCATGAGTGGAGGTGGGAGAGAAAATCCATGAGGAGGTTCACCCACCAACACCGACTCTCAAGGCCTGTTACAGTGTCAAGTAAGTATTTTGAGTATTTATATTTCAAAATGGCTTTATTTTACCATCCTGTTAAACACTGAAACACGCCTTTGGCATATTTAAAACCTACATCCAGTGTTTTCTGGGCTGACCAGTTAACCTCTGCCTTTATACTACTGCGCTCGACCTTGTTTACATTTCCAAAAGTGAAATGTTTACGTACTAAGTGGGTGGAATGTAATAATTTCTCCCTCCTCCAAGAACACGAGTAAAGGAACAGTCCTCTACAAAGAGCAAGTTTATCCAACTCCAGATTTCTGTGGGTTTCCTCAGACACCATGCAAGCAAGCAGCGCTCCCTCTCTGAATGATGAGATCCCTCTCACTATCATAACACACTGCTCACACGCTCTCAGAAACATGTTACATTAAGGAAGCTAATGGAAACTTACCACTGACCTACAGGCTGATGCTGCAGTGCAGACTTTGACATGATCTTACACACAAATATTTTGTCACAACTCTACACAAATTGTTATCACTTGATCTTTAGGCTTCTGTTGAAGGACACTTTTGTCCCACAATGCAATGCACAAAGGAACTACTCACAACTGTTTATATTTAATAAAACGTAAACGGTGTAAAACAGCTCTAAAACAGAATAAAAAAATGTTTTGCTTTCTTTGTGATTAGTTTAATTGATAGAATATTTCCAACATAGCACTTTAATCAATGTGGGCATCATTTACTGAACAAAACAGAAAGGTACTGTGAACTCTAACTGGGGAAAAAAGTATTTAATGATTTGACCAAAAAAAATGTTTAACCTCGAGGCCCACATGCTACCTTTTTCTCCCGCATCCATCTCATGTTAGCACTATATATATAATATGTTCTTTCCTCATCTAGGAACAGTTGTTTGGCAAAAATAAATTACTTTACAGC